TGAAAGTTAGGCGAACTCTCAATTTAAGGATACTTACAGGTAAGTAATTTTAGCAAAATCTACGGCAGTTTAACATTACAACTGCAGAATTTAAGGAAGATAAACTGTGGGTCAAGTATCGCAGGTGCGCATCATGCACCTGTGTAACGTTGTAATTTTTTATAGGCAGTTTAATAACCGCAGACAGTGATGTCCATTGTGTGCCCCAAAGCATGCTGGCGCATTGTAAGTTACATGTGCGTGAGTTAGTTTAGTGATATTATGCATGCGTAGCATCTATGGCAAATTGTCGCCTCCCTCTCCTCTGTGTGCCTTGTAAATACAGGATCGTGACTCCCTCGCCGCGTGCAAAGCACCACGCCTGGTCCACCAAGAGTGACTAAAGGACGGCTGGGATCCATCGGAGTGGGAAGGGCGGAGAGGCCACATGAAGCAGGATTTAAAACCCGACTTACTGAAGAAGGAGAAACGATCGCTGGGACAAGAGGGTTATTCGTCTGACGTTTCGGATTCTTGCCTGAAGCCATCCTTAGACACATTGCCAGATGTGGCATCTTTTCGCTTCGATTGGCAACTCGACTTACTGTCCTGCGGGGACTGAGCTGACTCCCCAGTTTGCAGGATTTCAAACCAGGCCTTCAAACACTTAGTTATAGGTCAAATCGTCCATATAGGCGAAAATGTGTCACAAAATGAAGTAGACGCGAACTCTGGAACAAGAGCTTTATTCATTTGACACTTTCAATTTATTTTCGAACATATCATTGAGATCAGCATCGAAGAGGAGTGATTTACACTATCTGTAGGATGCAGTCGCTTACCTTCCGCATGATTTTGGAAATTCAGGGCTCCGCACTCTTAGCACTGACACACATTTGGTGTGATTATTGATCTAGAGTCGGCAACCGAGTTGGAAATCATTGCAAGTTAATCACCTCTGTTGATTACTAAACAATCTGACCAACTGACACCGGCGTAATAAACAGCGTTCTATTGCGAACTGGCCAGCATTAAATATAGGAGAAGGAGGAGGTCATTGCACTTGATAATAGATTATTAGTCATGGACAATTCGTCCCCTGTCTATTAACAATCGCATTTGCCTGAAATGTTGCCAACTAACGGCATAAGTCGGTACTCCTTGGACGGAAACTCGGGTTGCGATGCCTACTCCTTCATATGACTTTGCGTTACATCCATGTGTGCCTTCCCAGGTCCTATGTACCATGACTATTGCATTATGAACAAGCGGAATAATTCCTCCATCCATATTCGGCGCCATGACTGAGCCTGAAGCTGTTTCTAAAGATGACTTCAAGAATAAATATAAGGCATTCCCATCTACTTCTTCTCAGTGCAAAAGCCTGTGAGTTTGTTTATAGGGTTAATAAGCAGTGATCGTGGGGGGAACAGAGTTTTCAGAGTCGACTTCATCGTCTCTCCCTACCCTCACAGACACCAGTCCACTGTCCGATTCTGCCAGCCATTTGATGCGCCAACACAAACAGAATTGGCTGGACCGGCATGCGCTTGCGCCTAGGCGTGCTAAAACGCCTTGGCCTTATATAGCCAAACATTTTTAAGGGGCATTACCCTTCAGGCATAACGGGAAGTCAGGCAACGACGTCATGGCGTTGGAGTATACAGTGGGTGTGCTCACTCATGAAATGTTAACCGAAATTCTGAAATGCTGTGTCGTCTCAAAAAGGTGAATTTAGTATGCTTGTAAACTAAATATCGTGCAGCTCATTCTATAATAATGCAGTTGCCTCCCGTTGCCGGCTTTCAGACAAACGTCTTCCAGGCCGCATGCAAAAACAAGTCTGTAAAGAATGACTATCTATGTAGCATATATTCGTCTCGTTGATTTTCGATGTCCCTGAAAATTCAATTATTTTTCATAGAAAGCATGCACAAAAATATTCATTCTTTCACACTTTCGGTAAAAAATTAGGTCTTCTTCCAATTTTATACTCAAAGGAATGATATAATTCGGTTTCGAAACACTTTCCCAATTCCCGAATAATTGTGAACCTGACCTGGCGTTACACTTGTATTCAGGGTTTACAAACTACAGGCCGTAAATATTCAGGCATTAAAGAGGAAACGATATGAGGTTCATAAAATTTAGCAGTGGATTTAATCCGTATCGTAAACTTTACAAGCAACATTAGTACATGCAATCACACGATGTTTTATGGATGGGCATTTCATGGTATTAAAACATCTCATAATTAGAAACATTTTCTAACCCGAATTATACCATTCCCTTGAGTATAACATTAAAATACGACGTTATTTCTTACCGAATGAGTAAAAGAATATGAATATTTGTATGCATGTTTTTATCAGATATATTTAAATTTATAAGGACTCCGAAGATCAACGAGAAAAACTCATGTTAATTACGGGGTCATTTTTCGAGAGTGTAGCTGTTGCCTGCAGTCGAGAAACTTTCGTTCGGAAGCCGGCATCCTGATGTAAATGAATTATTATAGAATTGCATTGCAAAATGGTTTGTTTATAAACCCTCAACCATTACCCTTGTTGTCAGGGTTTCCAAATTACAATCCACATATTTTCCGCGTACGGAAATTCAGTCTTTTTTACAGTAATAAAGGCGGGCCATATAGGGGACATAACATTTAACAGTGGATTTGATCCATATTGTTAAATTTACAAGTCATCTTTGTAAATGCATAGACATGATTTATGAACGCCATTTTACGTTATTTTGGAATATGTCTTGATTTTGAAAAGACAGGTAGGGTACAAAATGTTTCATCCTGCAGCATAATTAAACAATAAATCAGGTACCCTGTGATGCCGGCTTTCAAACAAACTTCTTTCAGGCCGCATGCAAAAACAAATCTGTAAAGAAGGACTACTTGTTTAGCATATATTCGTCTAATTGATTTTCAATGTCCTTAAAAATTCAATTATGTTTCATAGACGAAAAGCATACAAATATTAATTCTTTCACTCTTTCGGTAAAAACATTACGTCTTGTTCCAATTTTATACTCAAAGAAATGATGTAATTCGGTTTGGGAAACTTTTTCAGTACCGGATTAATTTTAACGTAAATATTCAGGCAACGATATGAGGTTCATAAAATTCAGCACTGGATTTAAGTCATATTGTAAACTTTACAAGCAGTATTAGTCAACACAATGACTTGATGCTTTCTGTATGGGCACTTTACAATATTAAAAAGCTCATTATTAGAAACACTTGGTAAACCTAATTATACCCTCCCCTTGGGTATACAATCAAAAGAAGACGTTATTTTCCACCAAAAGTTTAAAAGACTGAATATTTCTATAAGTGTTTTCTATCCGATATATTAACATTTATAAGGCGTCGAAAATCAAGGAGAAAAACGCGTGGTAGTTATGTAGTCATTTTTTACAGACTCTAATTCTTACGTGCAGCCGGAAAGAAGTTCGCTCCAAAGTCGACATCCTGAGGCAGATTAATTATTACAGAATTGCACTGCACAATGACTAGTTTTAAAATCCTACTTAATATTTTTGAAACTGATTTCAGAATTTCGGTCAGCATTTCGTGCGTTAGTGAAATTACTGCATATCAGGCGATCGGGAAACCACTAAGTAAAGGAATCAGAACTGCCTCTGTCCAGACCAAAAGTGCCATGGATGTTTGTACATGTTTTATGTGCAAATGAATTTGGATGTCGCACACTAGATCCTGTCTAACAACTTGTCAAAAAGTTTCCCGATTTGCACTTTGATAACATGTCTGGCAAGCGGCTGGAAAATCTAATGTTTAAAATGTGAACATAAACCTGTACTTTTTCCACATATTTTTACGGATTATTAATTCAATTACTCGCAAAATATGCGTAAAATATATTTCACGCGTTCATACATACAGTGCGTGACCTATCTCATGAAATCTGATAACGGAATCGCATGGGAGAATTTCTGGACGCCTTTAACGTTGAGCATTTTGTTTGCTCATCCACTTCCTTTAATAAAATGTCCTCTTCTTGTGCAGAAATTGTGTTTACATAATTATATCAAATAAAATATCAATACATTTAAGCGAAAATGGACATTGGAATATATTCGTGCAATTTCCTATGCTACTACACGTCTTAGACTCTGGTTACGCATCTGAGCGACTTTTTAATTGAAAGGACAGACAGTAATTTACCCGCGAGAGTTTTAATTAACAGATTTAACCGGACCAGAAATTTCATGTTATGTCCGATGTAAGCCATGATGATAAACCTGCTAACAAAAAGTTATTTTAGGAAAATCAGAGGTTTTATCAATTCCTTTATGCCAAATTAGCAGTTCTGTGCGACATAGTGTCCTAAAGTGCAGTAATAACGCAGATGGGTATTCTTTCGTTTAAACTGGATGAAATTGTTTTGCCGTTTGGAAAATTCTACCTAAAGTCACATAGATGACCACCACGGAATGGTCATTTTCAGCTTTATACATATTCAACACTACTTGTCGTGTAGTTTAGCTTCTGTGCATACTTTTTTCAAAAATAGAACAAGCAAAACATTAATATTGAAAAGTCAAATTGGCGAACACGTGTTTTCAGTAACTCTTCATCAGGCCAAAACGGTTACAATGAAGTTTAAGTTATGCGAATTACATGACTTATAAATGATTCGGGACAATTAACATCGATCGTTCCCACGCCACTCGCATGACGAGGCGTGCTATGGCGTAGTCGGCGTGTCGTGGTAATTGGGTTCGGGGGGCGAGGAGGAGGGGGGGCATAGGCTGCGAGTGCGTCGTGTACCTTGTGCACCCACCCTGGCATCAGAAGGTTGGAGTGACGTTGTGGTCGGCGTCGGCCACGGAAGACAGAGCGCCTGTGTCAGAGTCTTCTGACAGCATAGCACTGGATTGGCTAGCCATATAGCCACTGCCTCAGCTGTAGCTAGCACCCGTTGGCGTAGGCCTTTGGAGAAGCCTGCTGGTGTCCGGTAGACAATCTGAAAGGCTTCTTTGGCTCGATGGGCTCACCGCTCGGCCCATTCCTCGCAAATGTCTTCATGGGCAAAGTCGAGATGACAAGTTTACAAGACACCATTAATGACCTCAGCTTCTACGGTCGGTACGTAGACGATATTTTCTGCCTGACGGATGTTACCACCGACACAGACGTCCTGATTCAAAAATTCAACAATTCACACCCCTCGCTGACGTTCTCTGCAGAGTTTGAGGCAAACAATGAAATCGCGTTCCTCGACGTTCTTCTGCACAGACAAGAGGATGGGTCTATCCAACGTAGAGTATTCCGAAAGAAAACCTGGACGGGACAATACATTAACTTTCACAGTTTTGTTCCCCTCAACAGCAAACGAAATCTAGTCCAGGGATTGGCAGCTAGAGTGCGACGTATCTGCTCTCCTGAGACTGTGGAGGCAGAACTGCAGCAGCTGCGGGATACACTCCACGAAAACGGATATCCAGAAAGATTTATCCTTCGAAATATAGGGGAGCGCACTGCAAAACCTACCATGACAACTGCAGAAAAGAAGGACTTATTTATACGATTGCCTTTTCAAGGAGACGCAGCAAGTGAACTTGTAAAAAGACGTCTGAAGACAGCGGTCACTAACGCTTTCACACCGGCGAACTTACGTGTGTGTTTCACTAACTCTCCCCTCCTACGTTTGGGAGGTAAAGACCGACTCCCGTTGCAGGCCACATCAATGAGTATTTATTCATTCACTTGCTCCTGTGGAGCGGGCTACATCGGCCGTACAACGAGGCGTTTGGAAAAGAGAGTACGTGAACACATACCGGCCTGGCTAGGCAAAGGTGAGAAGAAATCGATCTCGAGTTCTATTCTCGCACATCTTGTCGATACGAATCACCGAGTCGATGCCAAAGAAGCCTTTCAGATTGTCTACCGGACACCAGCAGGCTTCTCCAAAGGCCTACGCCAACGGGTGCTAGCTACAGCTGAGGCAGTGGCTATACGGCTAGCCAATCCAGTGCTATGCTGTCAGAAGACTCTGACACAGGCGCTCTGTCTTCCGTGGCCGACGCCGACCACAACGTCACTCCAACCTTCTGATGCCAGGGTGGGTGCACAAGGTACACGACGCACTCGCAGCCTATGCCCCCCCTCCTCCTCGCCCCCCGAACCCAATTACCACGACACGCCGACCACGCCATAGCACGCCTCGTCATGCGAGTGGCGTGGGAACGATCGATGTTAATTGTCCCGAATCATTTATAAGTCATGTAATTCGCATAACTTAAACTTCATTGTAACCGTTTTGGCCTGATGAAGAGTTACTGAAAACACGTGTTCGCCAATTTGACTTTTCAATTGCAACATGGGAATATTCGCTGAACTTAGACAAAACATTAATAGTTTCAGCAAAATATCGGCATTTATATGGGCCCTCTGCCATGCATTCAAAATCGAAGAACGGAGTCTAAAAGCAAGCAAAAACAGTGCAAATGGCCTCAATGTATAGAGAAAGGCATGATCTTGCGTTTAAGGTAGAAAAATAGTAATATTGCTTAGGAACGCGAAAGAAGCCGCCAAAAGTGTCAAATTTTTACCTAGCCTCGCCAAGCAAAGATGTAATGTACACAGAGATCCGTCAACGGCGTGCAGTAATAAAGCACTTCTTAAAGAGGTAACTTATTAAAGAAAGTTTTCATATTGTTCGAAGGCATATTCGTTGCTTGTGCCCAGATCACAAGTGTCGTGGATATTTGTACATGCTTTCATGTACAAATGAATTTGGATGTCGCATGCCAAAGACTTAAGAGCTAGCGGATGCGAGCACGCTATATCCTGTCTAACGCTTTGACAAGATGTTTCTCGACTTGCACGTCTGGTAAACAGCTGGAAAATCCAATCTTCAAAATGTGCTCATGAAAACTCTACTTTGTCTAGACATGTAGACGGATAATGAATTCAGTTACTTGCAAAATATACGCAACACATATGTGCACACATACTTCAAAGCGACCTGGGTTAAAGTGAAATACGTTTAATATTATTATTCCTAGTTTTAACAAGCGTGATGCAGCACAGGAAAACTGATCATAGTAAAATAAACGGGTTCAGTAAATCTGATCAGACTCTACCACAGTTTTCACAACGCACATGGTAAAAGAAAGGCAAAAAGTAAGGTAAACCCAAAACAGGCCTTAAGCATATCTGAGATAACTTTGAACAATTTATCTAACCAGCAAACATAACGATGGCTTTCGAAAATACATAAATTCGCCTCACCTTGAACAGAGTCCTCATGCGATTTTCTGGATGAGGTACAGCTTCGCGTTACCTGCGTCCCCGCCGACAGCAGAAAAACCCATACACGGAGTAGCATGGTGTCCTTATACGAAATTAAGTAGGCCTTTATATTTACGCTGCTGCAAGCAAGACTGCTAGGTCAGGCTGGTTCACAAGAGCATATTATTTTTGTCCTTTTGACACTCAGAATTTTTCCGACATGATAGACGCCGTTGGGCACATAGACATTTGCAGTATGTGACGGCTATGTCTACATGTGTAGGGTTGGGCAGCATTCCTGAGTCTTCAACACTTTTACACTTGTTAACGGATAGCGCCCAAAGTACGTTGCGCGCCTCGCAGTCTTTCATGTTTCCATAAATAGCGAGACATTCTGGAGTATGGACGACTGCATCTAACCATCGATTTCGTACGACCGATGTTGTTGTTATTGAAAAAACATAAGGCTAAACCATCAATACTACGCACAACATGGCGAAAATGCAGCGTTCATAAGTATGTTTTGCATCATCTGTAGGTCGTAACTACTGTAAAATAAAGCGAAACATGTCTCTCGATGAAACAATAACGCAGTACCTTCTGAAAAGGCAAACCATTCAAATAATTCGATAATATTTTGATCCAGAAGCGCCCATGTAAGAATGTTAATTACACCATCGCCTTCAGTTAGCTTTTAATACGTTCTGATCAAACCTAGAGCTTTGAAAATGCAGCAATCCATTGAATCACATTATTGAATAGAATCCCAGAGTCATGATAATAAACAGGGACTTTTAACAAACAATTTAGCAACACGACTGAATGCTCACAGGTACGCTAATGATATCCATGCTTACAACCGTGCGTATAATAAGAGAGACTAACTAAAATAAATCGGTATGCTAAACGCTCACTGTGGAAATGTATAACCAATTTATATGCTCTTAAAGCGTTTAATGTATTTTGCGCAAAATATGTGTAAAATGTCCTTTCTTGAGCTTGTTTATAGCACATGACGTCTCATATATTTTTAAATCGAGAAAAGGGTAGACGTAGGATTGAAAAATGTAATGATTATATATTTTATGAATATGAAATTGCCACTCAAAGGGCATTTGTCTTTTCGTTTGAACAGGCGCGAGTGAGGCATAGAACTTTGTTTAAACATACTGCACAATGTTATGAATCACAATTTAAATCTGCGTAATATGTAGCTAGTAAACTTGAAACCCCAAATATAAAAGTAGGCGAATGTCGAGTTCAAAATAATTTGTAAATTTAAAAACAGTTTACAATTTTTTAGTAACGAGGCTGGAATGCAGGACATTTACAGTAGCGATGCTTACTCATGAAAACCCCGGGTTTATAACGCAGATTATTTCGGGTTAGATTCCGAATAATGACTGTAAATCCAAAATTAGTCACTGTGACTTCTCTTAAGGTAATAAGACACCCCTAGCTGCCGACTGCATACAAGGGTTCGCCATTGCGTTCCAAGTTCAAAGGGGAGGAGTATGCTTTGTCAAGTGATTTCGAGCACAATTATTCCAAGTAAACTAGAGTTAATAAGCAGTAACCACCTTGATATACTGATGTACAGTTTCGCGGTCAATTAACTGCTACTCTGTGCGAAGGTGTTTTGTTGATAGAGAGTCAGAGGACTAACCAAGAGAAGGCAAGCAGCTGCGATTTCATGAGCGACAACGACAAAACCTGTTTCTGCAGAGGCTGGCCGAACAAACCTGCAAACAGAGAGTGACATGCAAAGCAGCATTAGAAAATAAATTTTGTAAGCTGTCCAATCCAATGTCATACAAGAACGACACACTGGTGCACAAACTGTCGTCACAGGAGCTGACGGAGGAACAAATGCAGTTGTCAAAGCACGAGGCCTCATTTAAAACAGCTGATGCCAAACCTACCAACATGATGGCAGCAGTGGAACCAATCCCTAGTCAGACGAAAGCGACAGACGAAACAAGGAACCTTATTTTTCACTAGGTTTCATCCCTTCTCATGGCTCATAGGCCACGCAACATGCTTTGGAAGGTCTAACGTAACACAGTAAAGGAACTCAATGCTGACAGCAACCCCTTTATCGTGCCTGCAGACAAGGGGAGTTCTACAGTCATATTAGACAGGACAGGCTACATTCAGAAAGCCAAACGCTTGTTGAAAGACTGTCAGTCCTATGTTCCATGCGAATCCAACCCCATAAAGATGCTGACACGCGAGATCAACTCGAAGCCTTTAGCAATGGAGACCTCAAGCGCAATATCACCGATCAACCGACGAGTGGGAAGATCGCAAGAAACGGCCCTGGACCGATTCTACGGTCCCCCAAAGTGCAGAAAGAGGGCCCTCCTGTCCGGCCAATTGCATCGCAAAGGAGCTCGAAACTGTAGACTGGCACAGTGGCTTTTCGACATCTCAAGTTTCTGACCTTCGCTTCGGACACCTCAGTCCGCTCGTCAACACACTTTTAGGAGAAACTTACAGGGGTAAGTCTCCTGCCGAGCGACATCATGGCATCCTTTGATGTCACGTCTGTTTTACCTCTTTTCCGCAGAAGCTAGCGGTCGATACAATCCAACTACTTCAAAGGGGGAAATATCATAAAATAGAGAATTTCCTCGGAGACGCCCAACTCATCCAACTCCTGAACTTCTGTCTGAAGACGTACTTTACGTTCCACGAAACAATTTATGCGCATGCCAATGAATTAGCCGATTTTAGGACTCATAGCCAAACGGTCCTAAAACGGTTGAATTCGCTGGTTTTCGACACTACAGACTGAAATATTGGTCTCCTTGTCGTCATCGACCGGATAAGCTGCTGATATTCAAAGAACGTCTCAATTCCGTCTTCTCGGACATTCAGGTTACGATAGAGGAGAAAGAAAACAACCAGCTGGCCTTTCTGGATGTCCTCATCTGCCGCAAAGCTTGTGGTGGCCTAGAAACAAAAGTGTCAAGGAAAACGACAAACACGAATCAACTACCGAATTTCAGCAGGAAGTACCCGATTCATCACAAAAACAGTTGCGTAAGGTCGCTACACTGGCACAATGAGACGCAATGAAGTGAAACGGAAGACAAGGTTACTTAATTACAATATCTTTGACGGGTACTGAGAGCTAATGTCTACCCCGCAACTTCGTCAACCAGTGCGAGTGCAGACAAAGCCAATAACCAAATTCAACCGGCACTACATTTTGGCGGGCGCTATTGTGCGTGAAGTACGTCTCGGAATCCGTCAGCCGCCTTCTCACTCCACTTGGAGCTGGGGTTGCACACAGGCCAGAAGCAGCCATCAGGCACCAAGCCATTGGATCGAAAGACCCGCTGCCACAGCAGGAAACGCATGGAGTCGTTTACTGGATCTGGTGCAGTTGCGGACAAAGCAAGCACGTCGGAGAAACCGGGAGATTACTCGGGATACGGATGGCTGATTATGCAGCAGCGGTGAGGAGGAAAGACGCCAGCACTCACAAAACAGCTAATTCCACGTAGCCTGGCAATCTTTTCAAGTTCCAAGGGGTCGAAATCCTCGCAAGAGCTTACAACCGCGTGAGCCGCCAGTTACTCGAATCCTGGTTCTCGGGCTCCCAATCCATCAACAAGCAATGACCTCCCGATACCAAATTAAGTACTGAATCATTACCTAAATGAAAGTATCGGTCACGTGGGATGGGCACGGGCGCTCAACTATCCCAGTGACAGCGTCCCTAACTGCCGAGTACTCATCACATCAACATCCAACACGTATGATGAAATTGCGGCAACTAACGGCAAGAACGCGAACTGACGAGCCATCCTCGCCTCACTTACGACTCAATTGGTGATCACCAGAGCTATTAGCTTTAATACAGTAGATGTGCTAACTCATGAAATGTCAACCCAAATCTCGAAATGCGTTCTCATT